ACTTACAGAAATTGAGATTTTTTTAAAAGCAAAGACTCACTGGGTAGGAAGATTACACATTGACATTATGCTAATGAGCGACTTGAATCACTGACACCTGCGTTGCTTAGTGGGACACAATACCGATTCAAGGTCTCTGTCCTTTTGTTGATTTAAAATGTTATCCTTGAAATAGCAATGTTATAAATATTAATAAAAACACTAAGAGCTTGGCAAGTGGATTCTAAGAAGACTAATGACTTCCAGTTAAATATCAAGTCATTATTCTAACAGACATTTTACTAGGCAACAAAGATGGAACAACACTGTAAGCCCTTCATAAAGGTCTTGATAACCATTCCGTTGAGACAAAAATTACATCAACTAGTTATTTGACCTAAATAGACTGATTGATTGCTCCCGAGTGAATTAATCAGCCTTTGGTTATCATCTCACAATACCAAGAACTAGTTTGGCTAGTTTTTTAAACTCCTTTAATGGGTTGTTTTTCTAGTTGGGGTGTGTGTGTGTGTGTACGCACAGGCACACACCTCCTGAAAACCTATGTATGAGAACCAATAACTCACATCAGTTCACTCTCAGGTAGTGTGATGTATGTCAGCAAAGATATGTCTCAAAACTATAACACTAAGCAAAAGTAAGATACCTAAAGATATTTAAATTAAAATACCATTTTATTGTTCGTTTATCTAAGCTATATTTACTATTGTTCATGGATGGAAATATATATAAGTAATAGAAAGGAAGCAAATTAAGGGCTCAAGATTTGTGTCAAAGAAATGGTGGGATAAGTAGATGAGGAAAAACAAGAGTTGATGTTGTGGACAATTGTGACAGTGTGTTATAAGATGTATAGTCAGATAGATCAAAGTTATTCTATGTTAGAAATTCAAATCTAGATGTTTGTAATTTACTTTTGTGTTAGAGGATGGGCGTTTTTCAAATTGACTTAAACCTATTTAGCATTTAAAATGGCACAATTTTCTTCTTTCTTCCTGTGTCAAGTTGAATGTTGAGAAGGGAGGATTGAAGAGAACATCACATTTCCAGTTGTTCCCCCAAAATCCTTTTAATATAAACTGGTTATCAGGCCAAATTATGCTACATATCCTGGTTAACCCAAATGTCTACGTTAGTGAGGAATGTTTTCTTACTTCATTAAAATTTGTGTAAAAAATGCTTTCCACCACTAATGAATTTTGGCAAAATTCTATAGTCAGGACATCAACTTAGCTTCTTTATTGAAACAATAATTAATAAAACATATTTTGCCTGGCAAACATGAAATAGAAAAAGCTATGCCCTAATATTTTAGGAATATGTTAGAGAATCAGACACATAGAGAACTCTAAGTGTGGTAGCTTGTAAAAAGTTATTTTTGTGAGAATATCCAAAGATGAATGCAAATCCATGACACATTAACCATGTTCTGATTTGTGTCAAAATTAAGAAATCTCAACAGTCCAATTTGTCTGTCTGACTCTCTATACTTACATTCTAAGCCATTGAATGTTTATGTGATTATCTTAAATTCATTTTGTGTGTGATGTACATGTTAATCTGTAGCTGTTTGTATGAAACACCAGCTTTCAAGGGCCATTTTCTTCTTCCTTTAAACCTGGTGTTTTGAGCACAGTACAAAAGAAGTGGAATGAAATTGTATCCTATTTATGCATATGCATTCATTTCACATAGAAGGTCTTCCTCTGCGATTGAGGAAATCAAGTAAGAGAAAATTCTCTGAAGTCAACAAAATACACAGTGCATGTCTCTGTTTCTTGTCAAGAACCTCAGATCTGCATGTGAAGATGACTTAAAACCCTATTAACAGACTTTCATAAAGAAAGAAAACTGTGTGAGTAAAACATTGTAAATAATTGCCTATTTCTATAGCAAAGTTCAAACTTCTCTCTTGAAGTGGTGAACCAACTCAAATGACATTAGAAAGCGTCCTTGTTTTGGGAATAATTAATGGCCCTGTAGTTTATTCAGTGTTTATTATTTATAGTCAGTCATGTAGGAAAATAAAATGTTAAAAGGTCAAAGGCTAAAGTTGTGGCAAAATGCGTACAGCAGATTTACATGTGCTAAGTTTTTGTTTAGAGAAAGTGCTAATTTTTGTTTCACATGTTATTGCTATTGTGCAGAACAAAGAAAAATACGTTTTTTAATAATTCACAAGCTCTAGTCCTTTTTTAAAGAAAAGCTTTTTAAAGAAAATCTATGTCAAACCTATTGAGGTATCTTTTACTTAATATACTCAAATGACTGTTAGTTTTACATTTCAAACTTAAGGTGGGCAGGTAATAAAATAATGTTATCACTAATGACCCATAATCAACAACAAAAATCTACAATACATAGTTATGCACAAATATTCCAAATTATTTTAATGTAAACAGTATGCTAAAAATATTGTACAATATAGGGAAAATATTAACATTATTGTTACATCAACAGTTGATGATAGCAATTGACTAGTGAAATGGCTTGCCTAAACTGTGCTTTTCTGAATGCAATTTCAGTAATAGAAAGTGTATATTCTGAGAAATATGGGAAAATGTATGAAATTGTTACATAAACTGCTTTGACTACAGTAGACATTGTGATGAAGTATGATCTCCTCAAGTAAAACAGTTATTATGTTAAGAATGGAGAAGCAATCACACAATTTAAGTGTTTTGCTTTGGCAGTTCCACTCATATTTTCCAACCCTGCGTTTCTCTGAGGAGAAAAAGTAAATGTGCATTCCTGCTGGTCTGCAGCTTATAGAAACAGACAAGGGGCCAGTACATATGGGAGTCAAAATCTGCATGGAAAATATTACATTTTTAGAAAGCAGCTATATGTACCTAGGTCTAATTTTGTTATATTGACTGAAAGTTCCATCAATGGAAATTGAGTTCAGATGAGGCCTATCGGTTGACTGAAAAGATTTCTGTGACATAAATCACACGGTGCAACAGATATCAGTCCAAGAACTGCCTTTTGAAACATACAAGGAGAGAACATTATTGCAAAACTTACTGCCTAAATTTCTGAGTAATCCTCTGGACACCTGTGAAGCAGGCTAAGCACATTTCTCCAAACCTCTATACTGTATTCTTGTCCTCAGGCCCTCAGTTCAGTCTTTCAGCTCTACACTAAATGGTTGCCAGAATTTACTCACACTAAAGTAGTTAAGACATAACTATGAGATAATTATCTGTATTTTAAAATCTCATTAAATAGCTTATGCATCCCCAAAAATGTATAGGAAAAAAAGTAAATGTGCATTCCCCATAATAGTTTTTCTTTCACTTCAGTCGTTGCTGATTTTCTTTAGAATGTTTCTGGGAATTTCATCTAGAACCTGGCATATATGTTTTAAAATTATCTTCAGTGGTGGTAAAAATTGAGTCTTGAAGGCAGAATTTGATTCTCGAGAGCAGAATTGTACTTGTTGAAGCTTTGAGATGTTCTTCTGATTTAAGAGGAAAGAAAAGAGGATGGTGATCATTTAATTTTGCAGCTTAGAAACTAGTCCTAAAGGCAGTTCCCGAAGAAGTTTCTGAAAACATTTGAGTAATCAAAACATTTTTTAAACAAGCCTATGGACTTCATGTGTGACTACGTGTAAAACAAGATGATGTGCTTGTCTTAGAACTCTTTGGTGCTTTCAAATCTCTCTAATAGAAAATTTCCATTGCTCAGGTGTTCGGTTTATCACCTGGAAGATATGCTGATTCTCTATTTGTTAAACTGTCATTCACATGCACCAGATAAGATGATATCTTTAACTTTTGAGAAACTACCGAAGCATGTCATAACTGCTTTACTGGTAAAGAATTCAGTCAGCAAAGTATTTTTTAAAACTTATTAATTTTTAGCATGAAGTCAGATATCTTGAGTTGAAATTTCAATTCCATTTACTTCTGAGCAATTTACTTAAATGTTCTTGGCTTTATTCTTTTCATCAATAAAATGGGGCTAATAATTATGACTACTTCTGAAGATTGTGCTGAGAAAAACATTAAATCATATGAAATATTCAATCTTGGCATGTAAAAAGCATTTAATAAATATCAGATATGCTTGTTGCTTTTGTGGTGATACTTTGTAACTAACACAATTTGAAGCATTGTTCCTTCCACTTGGCTTTTAATTTTGGTAACAATGCTGTTAGCTAAAAATGCATAAATTATGTTCAGATTCAATAAAGGTCTCATGAAGAATTGAGAAATCAATTTGAGGCAGAATAGTAATTTATATCAAGACTCTTATATACCTGAGCCTGGCTTTTAAAAATTATTTGCTATCGTTTAATGTTTTGGTTATTGCCCATCTGAGAATCTCTCGTGTAACTGAGGGTCACTCCTTCAAATCAATATGAAGGATATTGATTAAAGCATTTTTTCATATTTTTTTCAGGTTTAGAAATAAGTATCAATGTGACTTCTATCTTAAAAACAGCTTTTAAAATATACGTCTTTGTTAACAGAAATGTTTATTCATATTTTTATTTTAATTGGAACAACTCAAAATATACCATATTTTTATTTAAAAGATAAATTATATATTCATTAGATGTCATGAATATTAAACAATTTTAAACTGTTACATAAATTTGATATAAAATGACAAATTAAGAAATGGAAGATAAACATCTAAACTTACAAGTTAACCAAGTAAGTTGTTTCATCAATTGAGACATCTAGGCTTGATGGCTCCCAAGATTTTCTGGTGTATCTTGGCTTTTAAAATGTAGATACAAGCCAAATTGTTCCTGAAGTAATGTAAAAGGATTATACAGTCTTAAATTTTTTATTTTCTGATTTAGAAAGTATAAGGATATTCTTTTCCTGGATAAACACAACTGCTTTAAAGGGTGGGAAGAGATGGTTAAAATTTAAAATAATTGTATAATGAATATGTTTTTGAAAAGCATTAGCAGAAATAGATTTTCCTGACAATTACATGACATAGTGATATCTGTGAATGATTACAAACATGGAATACAGAAATGCATTGTCTTAGCTTTGGTTTCCCAGAAAGTAAAGTCTGAAGGAGAGGGCTTAACTGATGCTACTCTAATGGGATACGAGATGGCAGGTGATCCCAGGAAGAGGAGTAAGGGACAAGGAAGTGAACAGGAGAGCAGGGAGAGTTAAAATGATAATGCATTATTTAGTTAGCTACCCCTAGTACAACTGAGAGCTGGATTGCATAGCAGTATCCCCAAGAATCTACAGAGGCTTTGTCTCAAGCCAATTCATCAGAGGAATTTGCAAACTTGCTTCCTTCTCTCATTAGTCAAAGGTTTACCCCAAGAGTGTAACAGTTTATTCTTGGTTCCCAGGACAGAAAATGAAAAGTTTATGAAAACAGTCTGGGATAAAGCATGGTCAGGACATGCATATGTGAAATGGCTGGGCCAAGAGACAGGTGAGGCATTAATTTCTGAATTATAATAGATTCAGAGCAAAAATTATCAACCATACTTGTGCAAACCAGGAATAGCTCCTTGTTAATTTTGTAAAATGTAATTTATATCACATTCTCTATGCCCAGTTTGAATTTTTTTATGTAAATATAATCTCTTTCAAGCAGAATTATGCTTGGCTTTATGTAATATAAACTCAACTATAAAGGAGATTTATCACACACAACATAAAGTTTAAGGATAAGCCTATGAGGACTAGACAGGCAGCTCCTCTCTGCCACCAAGAACCAGGCATCTCTGCTCCCTGCTCCTACTTCGTATTGAAGACTGTTCCAGGTCATTCCTCCTGACCAGTTTTTAGTCAGGAAAGACAAAGTAAAAGAAATAGTACACGTGTTATGTATGTGTCCTGATAGACAAAACTGACGTACATGAGATAACAAGGTATCTATTACATGAATCTATTATATATACAATTTAAAATTTAACATGATAAAATAAGTACTTTCCATCATACTGAAAGTGTATTTTACTAAAGAGTTTGGTTCAAATATTAGTGCCTAAGGAAAAATTTTCTGCAAATGAAATAACTTTAAAATTTATTTAACATTCTATCATTGATCTATGTAATTCACCAAATTAACAGAATAAAGGATAAAAAATACAATAGTCTCAATATATGTGTAAAATGCACTTGATGAAACCCAATACCCATTCTTATTTTTAAAAATCTCAACAAACTAGAGGGAAACTCCTTTTATCTGACGAAAGCTATCAATTTTTTAAAGCTGCAGTTTTAACATCATACTTAAGAGTAAAATATTCAACATCTTCTCCATGAGTTTCAGAGCAGGGGAAGGGTGTCCACTATTGCAACTTCTATTCAACATTTAACTGAATATTTTAGCCATGGCAATAAGGGAAAAGAGAGCAAAGTTATAAAAAAGTGACAAAGTTGTCATTAATTTCGGCTAACACAATTGTCTACATATAAAATCAGAATGATATGCAAACTATTGATGTTAATAGTGAATTTTGGTAATTTTGCTAGAATCAAGGTCAATATACAAAAATGTGTGGAATTTTTTATAGACTAGCAAATACATAATGAAATTTTTAAAATGCCATTTATAATAGCACCGAAAGGCACTACACTCTTCCTTAATTAATAAGTCTAATAAAAGCTGTGCAAGTTCTTTATATTGAAAACTTCAAAACATTGCTGAGATAAATAAATGGAGAGCTATATAATGTTCTAGAATTAGAGACTCAATGTTGTAATTTTCTTACTTGAGCAAGATAGTGCAAATGCAACCAAAGTCCCAGTAGGATTTTTGTGAAAATTGACAGGAAAATTCTACAATTAATGAGGAAATGCGAAGACTATCCTAGTCAAAGCAATATTGAAGAACAAAAACACTACTATATATTAAGACTTTCTATGGAGCTATATGAATTACTACCATGTGATATTTAAATAAGAGTAGAAAAATAAACCAATGGAATAGAATAAAGTGGTCGTAAGTAGATCCACAAACATATACATCTTTTTTACAACCAAGTTGCCACTGTAATTCGGTGAGGAAAGAATAATTTTTAAATAAATAATACAAGGTTACAATTCTATTCCTAGATATGTAACCAAGAAAAATAAAGAATAATACATACCATATAACTATTTATAACATCTTTAATAACAAGCAAAACTAATCTATGATTAAAAAGGTTAGATTGTCATTACATTTGGTGAGGGCAGGCACTTTGACTAGAGAGGAGCAGGAAGGAGCTTTCTGGGGTGATGGAACTTTTCTGTATTTTGATTACATTTTGGTTACAGAGGGATATAGTTTGTCAAAAGTCATGGAACTGTGGCTGAAGATCTTAATTTATACTTCACATAATGGTGCTGCATACAATGGATACCAATATCAAAAATGAGCCTCAGTATTTATTTCACCCCCCCACACAAAATTGAGTTGAGAAGAGTCATAAAAATAAAGATAGGGAGGTAAATAATACAATTTCTAAAAGTAAACATGAAAAAATATCTTCATGACCTTTGGGTCAGCCAATATTTTCTAAACAGGGCACAGAAAATACTATTTACTTAAAAAAAAAGTTGAGAAGTTAGATTTAATAAACTGGCATAGCAATTTTGAAAAACTGTTTGCCAATACCTACTTAAACTAAACATGTATATAACGTATTGTCCAGTTAGTTTATTCTTCAGTAATATAATACTACGATGATTATCTTGGCATAAGTTTTTTTTTAGTACTTAGAAGATAGCCTGTATTCACCTTCTGACTCTGTTTTTTTTTCCTTCAAACATATAAATGTTTGTAATAAGACTTTTACTACTTAATTTTAAAATCTACCTCTTCTGTAGGCTAAATAAATGACTTCATGTTTACCTATTTTAATTACATAGAAATGAATCAAATATAATCTTTATTGTGTATGTTGCCAGGTGAGATGGGAATTTCCCAACCATATGCAACCCTGGATAAAATAAAGAATCTGGATATTAGTGCTTTGTCTCATGGGTAGATTGCAAAATTTTTTTCCCATTCTGTTGGTTACCAGTTCACTCTATTGATAGTTTCTTAAACAAATTTACAAGAAAAGCACAACCCTATCAAAAAGGGGGCAAAGGATATGAACAGACACTTTTCAAAAGAAGACATTTACGCAGCCAACAAACATATGAAAAAAAGATCATAATCACTGGTCATTAAAGAAATGCAAATCAAAACCGCATTGAGATACCATTTCGTGCCAGTTAGAATGGAGATCATTAAAAAATAAGGACACAACAGATGCTGGAGAGGATGTGGAGAAATAGGAATGCTTTTACACTGTTGGTGGGAATGTAAATTAATTCAACCATTGCGGAAGACAGTGTGGCAATTCCTCAAGGATCTAGAAATAGAAATTCCATTTGAACCAGAAACCGCATTACTGGGTATATACCCAAAGGATTATAAATGGTTCTGTTATAAAGACGCATGAACACATATGTTTATTGCGGCACTGTTCAGAATAGCAAAGACTTGGAACCAACCCAAATGCCCATCAATGATAGATTGGATAAAGAAAATGTGGCACATATACACCACGGAATACTATGCCCCCATAAAAAAGATGAGTTCATGTCCTTTGCAGGGACATGGACAAAACTGGAAACCACCATTCTCAGCAAACTAACACAAGAATAGAAAATCAAACACCGCTTGTTCTCACTCATAAGTAGGTATCGAAAAATAAGAACATATGGACACAGGGAGGGGAACATCACACACTGGAGCCTGGGGGGTGAGAGACTACAGGAGGAATAGCAGAGGATGGGGGATTGGGGAGGGATAGCATTAGGAGAAATACCTAATGTGGGTGACAGGGCGATGGATGCAACAAACCACTACCATGGTACGTATATACCTATGTAACAAACCCACACGATCTGCACATGTATCTCAAAACTTAAAGCATAATACATAAATAAGTAAATAATCAACCACTGTTCCAAAGAGTCACGTAAGACATGTCAGTTTAAAATGATGACAGGAAAGTAAATTGATAATAACATTTTCTTCAAGTATTCAATATACTTGGCTATGGAAATACAATATACTTGGCTTTGGAAATACAATTCTGATTGTACACTGAAGAAAAAAATAAAATAGTTCGATAACAAAGCTAACTAAAATGAGCTTTTGTTAAATCAAAGTAATACTTGTTTTGTTTTTACAGGTTCAAATAAAAGTTAGTGGAAGCTGTTATCCATGTCAATGTTGAACCAGAAGGTAAAAAATTTTATAATACATTAACATTTTACCTACAGATTATTTTTATTGATTCCTCTAAGGACATATAATTATTGTTCAGTAGCTTTTAATGAAAGAAATTGAATTGCAAAATCAAAAGTGATTCTTCCTTATTTCATACTTACGTTCTGGGATACATGTGCAGAAAAATGCAGGTGTGTTACATAGGTATACATGTGACATGGTGGTTTACTGCACACATTACCTGTCATCTACATTAGGTATTTCTCTTAATGCTATCCCTCCCCTTCCTCCCACCTGCTGACAGACCCTGGTGTGTAATGATCCCCTCCCCGTGCCTGTATGTTCTCATTGTTCGGCTCCCACTAATGAGTGAGAACACGCAGTGTTTGGTTTTCTGTTCCTGTGCTACTTTGCAGAGAATGATGGTTTACAGCTTCATTCATGAGCTCATTCTTTTTATGGCTGAATAGTATTCCATGGTGTATATGTGCCACATTTTCTTTATCCAGTCTATCATTGATGGTCATTTGGGTTGGCTCCAAATCTTTGCTATTGTGAATAGTGATGCAATAAACATATATGTACATGTGTCTTTAGAGTAGAAAGATTTATAATTCTTTGGGTGTATACACAGTAATGGGATTGCTGGATCGAATGGTATTTCTGGTTCGAGATGCTTGAGGAATTGCCACACTGTCTTCCACAGTGGTTAAGCTAATTCACACTCCCATCAACAATGTAAAAGTGTTCCTATTTCTCCACATCCTCTCCAGCAAAAAGTGTTTTTTATTGAACGTCAAG